TTCATACTGGAGTTCTAACATGTCTGGCACAGCAGCACTCAGTGGGGGTGTGACTTCATTCAGGCCACGGTAGTCCACCGTCAGCCTCCATTCTCCACTGGCTTTACGCACTGGCCATATGGGGCTGTTAAAAGGCGAGTGAGTTTTGCTGATCACTCCCTGGCTCTCTAGTTGACGAATTAACTTATGAATGGGGAGCAAGGAATCCCTGTTGGTGCTGTACTGCCGCCTGTGCACCGTTTTTGTAGCAATCGGTACGTGTTGCTCTTTTACTCGCAGCAGCCCCACAACAGACGGATCTTCTGACAGGCCAGGCAAAACAGACAGCTGCTTAATGTTGTCTATGTCCACAGCAGCTATTCCAAAGGCCCATCGATACCCCTTAGGATCCTTGAAATGCCCCCTTCTGAGATAATCAATACCTAGTATACATGGAGCCCCTGGGCCTGTCACAATAGGATGTTTTTGCCAGTCCTTACCAGTGAGGCTTATCTCGGCCTCCAACACAGTCAATTCTTGAGAGCCCCCCGTCACTCCAGAAATATGGATTGATTCTGTCCCTTGGTGACTCGAGGGCATCAGAGTGCACTGTGCACCAGTGTCCACCAGGGCCTTATATTTCAGTGGTTCTGATGTGCCAGGCCATCGAATCCACACAGTCCAATATACTCTATTATCCCTTTCCCCCCCCTGGCTGAGGGCAGGGCCCCTCTATTCATTACCTGTGGTAACTGGAGCAACTGCACTGGTGGTTGATCTGCTTTGTAATTCTTTCACCCGGGCTCGTAGTACAGGAGTAGGTTGACCGTGCCACTTCCCCATGTCTTCTCCATGGTCACGTAGGTAATACCATAAGGCAATTCGCGGTGTATTACCCCTTACTTGAGCCGGAGAGCGTTTGCTTCTAACAGCTGAGATCTTTGATGGTGCACGTGAGAAGGAAGGTTCAACATCTTTAGTTAGGTGGGCTCGCAAAAATTTCATCATCTCCTTCACCTCCTTCACATCCTTCGCTAGACTCATGTGATTATCCTGATCTTCATCAAGCATTTCTGATACTGCTACAGGTTTGTCACGGTTAATCAGTTGAGACACTTGCTCCGTCATTTTTGATATAGCAGCCACCACGGCAGCATGAATTGGGGACAGCAATTATTCGTAGTTTTGGAGCGTAACAATTAATTCATAAACTAAGGGCGTTCTCTGTTGTTCGTTGAATCTGTCACACGCTGACATCAGTGTAGAGGCATATTTGTCCGGCGCTGTTGTCACGATTTTCTGCCATATCTCAGGCGTTGTCCTCACTCTTTCAGGGTCGCGGTTTTGTTGTGGATGGTTAGGAACAAAGTTAGGGTCATACAACATTTCCACCACGCCTATTTCCCTCAAATACTGGATCCCCTTTTCAACTGTATCCCATTTTTTCATCGCAATCTTCAAGCCATTTTTGAAGGGATACTTTTCCTTCACAGCTATTAACACTCGTTCCCAGAGGGAGGCAGCCTCATCCGAACATCGACTAATTCCTCTATCAATAGCTGGATCTCTGGCAATGGCGCCTAGTTGGCGAGCTTCATTACCATCCAGAGACAAGCTATGGGCCCCACTGTCCCAACAGCGAACCAACCAGGAAACAAGAGTTTCATTCGGGCGCCGTGTAAACTCCTTTCTTGAACCTTGGATTTCAGTCATCTTTAGAGGCCGGCGAGTAGTAATAGAGACTTCCTCTTCATCACTCTCTTCTGCACGTCTCTTAGTTTTCCCTTTTGCCTTTCGCGATGGTGGTGGTTCTGAGGAGGGCCCCTCGCCTGGATCTTCCTCCACCTCCTCCTCCTCTTCTTCTCTTTTTCGTTCAAGACGCGAAGACACTCGTTTCCATTTCTTGCCCTCCACAGGAGCAACTGGTATTGTTACTGGTGTCTCCTGTGATTGATTAGATTTGACTTGGGGATTTTCCCCTTTGGCTTGCACCTCAGCTCGGAAACTCTCTCTCTCCAGAATGGTATTATATAGGGCACGGTAAGCACAAGCCAAACCCCAAACAAGTTGTACCTCCTTAGATTTATGTAAGCCGCATAGTCCCTGACTCAAATACTGGCTTAGTTTCTCAGGATCCCACAGGTGTTCAAGAGTAAAATCCCATGACACTGCGGGTCCCCATGCTTCTAAGACCTTTCCTAAACCTCTCCATATTCCCTGCCAGTCATCATTCTCTAGTTTTGGAGGAGACTCCTTATTACGAATGCTTAGGAATACATTCAGGAGAATTGATGACACGAACAACAACATGAGTATTAATTCAAGATTTGAAAAATGTTTAACAAACCGAAAAGAAAACCCAGAGACTGGTCTGAACATCGTGTTGTTTGTAAAATTAGCTGTTCCATTTGGGATGTAGCTGTTTGTGAAATTAGCCATTCCTTCTGGGATGTAAATGTCAAAATTCAAATCATACCACATTGCAAGTAGGTAAAACATAGGTGTCTCCATCAGTGCCCTTAGGTAGCTATATACGGATGCAATTCCAAAACATGTAAGTGTGAGATGGATTATGGGCCAGTAGGTTGTGAGTAACACCATTGCTTTAAATCCTTTTCACAGCGCCCCCACGATAACGAGTGGGTTCATCGGTGGTGCCTGCTAAAAAGGGGTTAATGAATTGAAGCTAACAAGAGGAGGGAAAAAAAAAAAGGAAAAAAAAGGAAAAAAAGGCACTACCCAGACGAAGTAGTGCTCAAAGTTTACAAATATCCCAGAACACTGGCAGTACGCCTAATCTTTCAAGGTCAGGTTTTCCAGCACAGAAACCTGAACTACTGATAACTCCCTAACGAAGCTCTCTAAGAGCAGAGAGAAAAAAAGATTCGTTCTAAAAGCTAAAAAGCAGCGAGCCCCACGTTGGGCGCCAAAAATCTGTCACGGAGTTGACCAGATCAATCTATGTCCATGACAGGGGCGACAGGCCTCTGCCCTCCCCCCCCCACCCCAGTCCCACAGAAATGGGAAGGAAGGAAGGGAGGAAAAGAGCAGCAGCAACAATCTATGGAGGAAAACTTATTTTACTATAATATTGGAATACAAGATAACAAAATATAATACAATTTAATTGAAATTGGGATTAATAAATCAGACAAGATGAGAGAGAGAGTTCCCGGGACCGAGTCAAACCTGAAAAGCTTGGAGGAAAGCACCTCCAGCACCCACTGCCAGGCAGCAAGAGAGCGCCCCCCCACCCGGAAGGGCCAGATCCCGTGACTGCTGTAATGTACAGGGATAGGTACTGGGATTGGGGCAGTGACACTTTAATGCCCCGTACACTACATGATGTTTTGATGTGGAATACTGAAACCATAAAAAAAAGCAAGACAAAAAACAAAAACATAGAACCATGACAAGAGCTCCAGGCACCGCTGCTTTTCTGCTTAGGGCTTCACCTCCTTGACACTGCTTCCCCAGCGGGAACCAGAAAGGTTGGAGTTGGGGAACAAAGTTTAAGCTGAAAAAAACCCCAGCTAGTTCTCACTCTCTCCAAACATAAAGTGCTAATCTATGATCTCCCAAGTTTGTTCTTGCTGACAAACCACATCAGAGCGGAGCTGTGCAGTCTCTGAGCCAACACAGCTCACAAAGGCACGCTGCCAAGGGCCCAACTCTGCAAACCTCAACTGCCATCCGCTCTGCTTCACCTGCTGTGCTTCAAAACTCCGACCAAAAACATCAGCGCCTACACCAACAGAATACCTACTGGGCAGCAGATCCAGACAGGAACAGCTCAAGGGACGAACACCTTTCAGCTCACCCCATCCTCTCACAAATGGGTACTGAGTAGAGGACAGAGGGTCCTTCTTACTAGAGGGTCAATCTCCGAGTGCCCACAGGCTGGACAAGAGCCAAAGGTGAGCAGGAGGAAGGACATGTGCAGATCACCTCTGCACTAACAGCTCTCCACATGCCTACACCACTCAGAACTTCAAGTGATGCCTGTGTTATAGAGCAGGGATGGGGTCCAAACCAAAAAGACGAATATTTAAGCTGTCACTTAACCTGTTATTCAATCTCACTTCATACATGTGCACCAAGTATACCCAACTTTTTCAAACTGCTCAAAACAATTAAGAACTAATTGAATAGATTCAAAATGGAGCAACACAAGCCCCACAATCCTTGACCACACACAGCTTTCCTCCATTGCCAGGCATCTCTCAGCTCCTACTCCCTGAGCTGCTGAAGGGTTTGCTTTCAGTGTACAGAACAAAGATGGCTTTCCCCTGGCATAAGAAACAGCCCTGAGGAGAAGGATTTGGAGGTGTGAGTTGAGAGAAAAGAAGGTGGTTCTACCCCTCTACCCTGCTCCTGTGAGACCCCATCCCGAGTACTGCATCCAGTTCTGAGGCCCCCAACACAAGAAGGACATGGAGCTATTGGAGTGAGTCCAGAGGAGGGCCATGAGGGGAATCAGAGGGCTGGAACACCTCCCCTAAAGGGACAGGCCTAGAGAGCTGGGGCTCTGCAGCCTGGAGAAGGCTCCAGGAGGATCTTATAGCAGCCTTCCAGTACCTTGCAGGAAAGCTGGGGAGGGACTTTTTATTAGAGCACATAGCAACAGAATGAGGGAAAACAGCCTTAAAGTCTCTTTAAAGAGTACATATTTAGATTAGACATTAGAGAATAATTCTTTACTGTGAGGGTGGTGAGCCACTGGAACAGGCTGAAGATGTTCCCTCCGTGAAGGCATTCACGGCCAGGCCAAATGGGGCTGTGAGCAACCTGGTCTGTAGGAGGTGTCCCTGCCTGCAGCAGGGGGGTGGAAATAGAGGATCTTAAAGGTCCCTCCCAACCCAAACCATTCCATGGCTCTATGCTAAGAAAATAGGAATGCCCAGAAAAATGAGCACAGCTGCAGTGTGAGCTGCACAGTGCACTTCTGTGCTTTACTAAAGCCTTTTCAGCTTGGGACATTGCCTTTTCTTTCCCCCTGCTAGCAGGATGAGACCAGCAACAAGAAGGAACGCAGAGTTCTAATTCCACACTGAAATCGCCGGCTTTGGCCCCACACCGTTTTCTTAGCTCAGCCGAGCAGGCCGAGGGCTCTCAGGCTCTGCATCAAGCTGCCGCATCGCCGTCGCGCTGTGCAACCCTCTGTGAACATAAACGCAGCACCCAACAGCGCTACGCCCACGGGACGCACAGTGCCACGTTCGCGACTCATCGACGCGGCCGCCGCAGTGAGAGCTCCGCTCGGGACGGGGCGCTCCGCAGCCGTAGCAGTACCGGAGCTTCGCCACGAGCTCGCCGGCGACCGCTTTTCCATGGGGCGGGCGGGAAGCGCGGGCATCCACGGCGTCTGCGAGGGCGGGGACAGCCGACTAAGGGGCCGGGACGGGGCCGAAACGCCGCCGCACGAGAAGCAGACGTGGTCGAGGAACAGCGCGAATTGCCGCCGGGGCGCTCCGGAGCGGCGAGCGCCGAGATCCGCCGCTACTCGCGGTGCTTCGCGGCGTCGCTCGGAGTCAGCAGCGCCCCGCCCCCCGCCCGACTGCAGCGCCCCCTGCCGGCCGCGCCGAGACGACGGAAGAGCAGGGCGGGCCCGGCCCGAGCAGAGCTCCGGTCGCTCGCGGCAGCGCAGGCCGCACTCGGGCACCCGACGTGGGACGGCGCCGTCCGACAGCACCTCGTCGTGGACGACGGCCTCGGGACGCGTCCGGTTCTTTAGAAAACGTTCAGTTCGGACTCCTCCTCCCGTCACCTAGCTGTCCGTCGCGGCCACAGCCGCTCGCTACGTCCAAGGCAAGCGGTTGCAGTGCAGCACCAGCCCCAGCAGCCAATAGGACGCGAAGAACCCCAGGAGGCACCGCCCGACGGCAGTCATGGAGCGGTAGCTCAGCAGCAGCCTGAGCAGCGGGTGTCCCCCCGCAGAGCCCTTCCCGCAGGAGCCGGGCGCTGCACCCAGCACGCGCCTCTCGTGGACGCGCACCGCGCTTTGCCCGCCGGCCTCCTCCTCCCAGAGCCAGGCCTCGTGTCCTTGGAGCAGGTGGGCGGAGAACCAGTACAGAACGGGGCTGGAGGAACCGAGGAATCGGGTCAGCACCTGAAAGCAACAGGCAGAGAATCTAGTCGGTCGGTCTCTGAGCGTGTCGGTACACAGAATGGCACACAGCCCCACCTCGCGGCGCTGGAATTTATTACACGTGGAACGAAACGCCTCTCAGTCAGCGCCGCTGCCTTTATCAAGGCGTTTCTGCACCTGGCCAGGGGCTCCACGGGCCTTGGGCAAACGCGGTGACCGCCACTGCAGTCCTCGTCACAGTCCCACCCGGGAACACTGACAGCAGCTGCCGGGGGGGACCTGAATCTCACTTTTCAATTATTCTTTCCCCACAATCCCCAACAGTTAGTGCCAGTAAAAAGCACCCAGAAGCACTTTCAAGGGACCTGGGCAGGCTTTGGATCCCCACGCTGCCAACCCAGCTCAGCGTCACAGGACGTGACGTTTTCTGCGCCCTCTGGCGGGCAGCACTCGGGGAGCTGACACGAGAACGCCACAGATGTGATTCAGTCCCACCTGTCAAACCATAGCAAGCACCTCACAGAATCTCTGGGAGCTTTCCAGCAGAGACGAGGCTTTGGAAAGCTACCGTGGAAGTGGCATCACAAGTGGAGAGGCAAAACCTTGGGCTTGCACAGCCCTCTGCCGGCCCTGTGGCTGTCACAGGCTGTGACCATCACCGAACCACTTCAGCTATCGCCCCATGCTCCCCGTAAGAAATCACTTCTGGATGCTGCCATGAACGTCTTACCTGAACATGCATGTAGAAGAACCCCAGCGTCAGCAGGGCTGTAGCATGGACCACATACACGAAGACAGCAGGGCAGCAAAACCCAGCTCTGGGTTTACCCTCTCGTTTCTTCTTTCTTCTCTCTAGTCCCAGGGTCAGGCAGTGCCATGGGTTTGCAACAACGAAGGTCCAGGCAGCGCACGAGCACAAAAGCGAGACAGGCAAAGCAAGCAAAAAATTTGGTACTTGTCTGAGCTCAAAATACCTCAGAAAGCCCACATTCCAATACACATCTTGAATGTAAGAATAGACCACAGGGAACCGCTGGGAGCACCAAGGGGGTTTAACCCCATGGGGGGACACCAGACGATAGCCTTTGTCCAAAGCCAGCTGCCGCAGCGGCTCAGGAACAGCCAGCTTCAGGCCAGGGCTGCAGAACCTCATGTAGGCATAATACTGAAACAAAGCAAAAGGCAGACAAATCCCAGCACATGTCAGAAGCATGGAAGATGCCACACTGAGGAACTGCCTCCATAACAGAAAGAGCTTCCTTACCGAGCCTGAACCCACCTGGAGCTGGAGGGCAAAGGATTTACTGCGGGAGTAGAGAAAGAAACCAGCATTCACAAGCCCATTGGCACGCACGCCAGTGGCAAGGGAGAAGAGCAGCATGCTGAGCCAGCTCTGCCCCTTCTCCAGTTGCCACATGGCACTGAAGGCCAGGAAGGCAAACATGCTCTCCGAGTAAGCAGCCGCCATGAACACGTTGGCAGGGCTGATACAAAAGAGAAGGGCAGCAAGGAAGGCTGTCCTGCGGCACCGCAGCACGGCACAGCCCAGCTTGTACAGGGCAGCGGCTGCCAGCACAGAAAAGAGAGAATTCAGGAGGACGGCTGACAGCAGCAGGCGGCTCCGCAAACACAGCAGCTGCCGCAGGGGCCACAGAGCGCCATCGGCCACGGCTCGCAAGCTGAGAGGGTAAAGCGGGAAGAAGGCGCAGTTGTGCTCATACAGGTAACCCCGCTCTGCGATGAAGAGGAAATGCTCTGCGTCCCAGTGTGCCAGGCCCCCCAGCAGCTGCTCCAGCAGCAGGTCGTATGCGCCAGGCTTGGGCAGACGAGGCGGGGAGAAGGCATCTGCTGTGTGATCTGGGATCAGCAGGTCAAACACGGCCTGGAAGGAGGAGGAGAGAGAACTGAAGGACAGCAGACATCTTCTTGCAACCTATTGGGAGCACTGGGCTGGAAGAGCATTTCTGGGATTCAGAGAAGGGGACGAGCAGCACAGAAGACAAGCTAATGGGATTTCCAGCAAGGATGGCTATAAAACTGTGAAAGCAGACACATGTTGTGGGGCATTTTAGCAGAACTGAATACAATTCTGACAATATCCATCATGAATCCCCATGGAATTGGACAGGGAAAGGCAGCTCAGCTCCCTGCTCACGCACATCTAACTGCGTATGCTCACACCAGGTGCCTCTGCAGTGCTGGTAAGCTGCCTTTGCTACTGAATTTGGTGTTCCCATCCCAGCTGACAGACAAGAGAGAGGAGACAAAACTACAGAAAACTGGTGCAGAAGACAAACAAGACTGTTTTTCTTAAAAACAAACCCTCCAGACAGTACTTTTTGCAGCTTTCTACCTGGAGATTGGGATGAGTCTCTGGCCAGGAATTCAGCACTAACAGAGACAAGAGAAGAGGCAATACTGAACAAATTGGGACAATTCACAACCTAATGTTTTACAAAAAACCACACATCTGGACCAATTTGCAGTAGGCAGCCTTTTGTCTCCTCTGAGGTTCCACTCAGTCCCACCCAGCAGTCATGGGGCTGCTGGAGATGTGCCCCAGGCTGCTCTGACTTCAGGAACTACAGCTGGGCTCTGCTGCCATGGCACACACAGGCAGAACAGAATGGGCCAATAGCACCCTTCTGCACTCAGAGAAGGATGTCTCTGCAAGTGAGACTTGGGAGGAATGTGCAGCAGCAGATTACTGTTCCTGCTCTGCGGATAAACGGACGTTTCAGCTTCGCAGGCTGCCAAACCCACCTCTTGCAACAGCAGCATTACACATAAGTTATGCAGAAATGTATGTAATTTTACTTCACAGCATCCTGCCTCCCCGGATGCAGCTGGTCTCCTGGTTCTCCAAAGGAGAAGGGGATTTCCCAACCACTCCGAACCAGCCTGTGGTGCATCACGCAGTACCAAAGAGAGAAGTCTTGGACCACAGAACAGCAGATGCTGCAGCACCTGTGGTTCAGGAGCAGAAGACTTGCCTGTAGCAGGAGTGTCAGGGCTCTGCAGCACACTGCAGTGTGCACAACCACTCGCAAATAAGGATCCTGCCTGCTCGCCAGCTCCATCCCAAGCTTGAAAGCTGCCTCGGTCACTGATGTTGGGGAAATTCACCCTCCAGTTTTGGAAACCTGAATTGATCAACAGAGAGCAGAGACACCAAGAGATACTTCTGGATTCAGACATGTTTGTACATTATTCATTTTTACTTGCTACCAGGAAGTTCAGAGGGCTGTAAATCTCTATGAACAAGAAAGTCACATATGAAAGAGATCAAGGAACCAAGGGACACGGAGATGTTACAGAAAAAAATCTTTGATACTGTTCCTATTAAAAAAGAAAAACATCCCTGTCTTCTTGACCTTGGTTAGGATGCAGAGGAGGAGAGATTGCAACACATTCTCAGTCCATTTCTGACTAGGCCAATGTAAATGCCTGCAGCAGAGCCACACTGCCCTCTTTACTGGCTGTCTCAGCAGAAAACCACTGGCTCCAGCCACAAATCAGCCAAGCAACTACACGCACATTCAAGTTCCAATACATTCAATGACACTTATTTTTTTGGACTAGAGACACAACTAAAATGTGGAATCTAAGCATAACATCTGTTTAAACCCTTTGCCAATGGGCTGCACTTGGCTAAGCACTGCCAGGCGCCTTTTGCTCTCACGTGCTCTCTGCCCAGCGTTTGCTCCTAGGTAGCAAAAAAATGCAGTACAAAAAAAAAGCACAGCCCTGCAGGTTCCTCCAGGGCAAAGCTAACACTGCTCAGACACATTGGCTTCCCTCATCACATATAGCACCTCTGGGACGTGACACGTGCGTAACACCGCTCTCTCCACCTGCACCCTTGCCTGCTTTGGCAGGGCTGCTGCTCTCCAGAGGGAGGGCATCTGCCTGCCAAGCAAACCACACGTGCTACGGTGGCTCTCTTCCATCTCTTCCCTCAAATCCTTACTCGTGAGATTTAAAGCACTTTGCAGAGTCACAGTGCTCTCTTTTCTGTGTATTCTGGATTGACATTCTGCTACCAGCTATGAAAACTGTTGGCCTGGAGCCACACAGGCAGGCAGTGTCTGCTCTGCAGCTTTTTAAGATAACACGTTTCTTCCGTTAGTTCCCCAGCCACCAACGGCTTTTCAAGTCTGACTAACCAAAGACCCACAGCTCTCTCTGGGCTCCAGCACCACATCCTGCACCACTTCCCACCTTTCTAATCCAGCCTGCGACAGTGCACAAAGATTCCTGAAATTCTCACCTCACCTGCTGACCTAACAATTCTCAGAGGTTTTCCTATTTCCAGTTTATTGACAGAGAAAAATCAGACAGGTTAAAAGCTGCACACGAGAGCAGAAACCAAGGCAACAGCAAAGCAAAAAGCAGCACCCAAACGCATTCACTTACAGTCCCAGCCTGAACCACGCAATTCTGCTTCTTCCTCTTTTGCCATGTATTAAGAGTTTTGGTTCTGCTCATGTTCTCTTGCTCCACAGCACTCACAGCTACAGAGCAGTGAGTGGGAGGCACACTATCCCAAATCACAAAGCCCCAACATTATTTTAAGAGCGGATACTTCAGCCCAGCTGCAAGTTTTATGAAAACACATTCACAGTTGCAAGTCTTATTAAAGATCACAGCCAACAATCGTCCAAGTACTTCTTTTTCTTAAAGGACAGAGAAGCATAGCACGAACATGCCAAGAAAGCAGGCCTTTGCAGCACCACTCCTGTCACGCTGCAGCACACCTCATCACAGAGCTGCAGCTCGCACGGCTCTGCCCCACACGGCACTGCTCCGAAGAGCACCTGCAGGGCCAGAAGAGGCAAGAGTGGAAAATAACGCCGTGTGAAGTAAAGAACCATTCCTGTCCTCCTCCGTGTTTCTACACGGCGTTCCGTGCTCCGCTACGAACTCCGGAAGTTGCGCCAACGGACGGACGCGCAACAGCACGGCGCGATGCCCGCGCGGGGGCGGCAGCGCTCCGGATGAGGCATTTCTGCTCCGCGCAGCGCGGCAGGCCGCTCCCGGCGGGGCTCCGACGGAAACCGCCTCCTAGCCTGAGCCGAGGCACGGAGCAGTGGGCGGAGCTCCGCCCGGCACCGCTTTCACGAGACTCGGGAGCCGCTCCGAGCGCTCAGCCCTCCGGACGCCGCAGTGGGGCCGTTCGCTCCGTTTCGCTTCTCGGGAACGGAGCAGCGGGACACGGCCCGAGGGGGGCGGGTCGGGGCCGCAGTCCCTCCGGGGGCTGCGAGCAGGAGCGGAGCAGTGCCGGGGGGGCGGTCCCGGGCGCGGTCCCGCCTCTCCTCTCAGCCCCTCCCATCCCCTCCCCTCCCCCACCTGAGCGCTCGGCGCGCCGCTCCCGCTCCGGCACCAACAGAGGCGAATCCATGCGCCGCCGCGCGCGGCTACTTCCGGGGGCGTCACTTCCGGTCCATCGCCCGCGGCTACTTCCGGGGACGTCACTTCCTGTCCATCCCCGCGCTTCCGGTATGCTTCTTCACGTGGTGGGAAGGAGGGGTGGCGGCGCTCCGTGCAGGGATGGCTGCGGGTGGGTTCCTCGCTGCGCCGTCGGCCCGGGCGCTGCTCCCGCCGAGCGCCGCCGGTGCGCAAAAAACTCTGCCGGGCTCGGCGGAATCCGCGCGGTGCGCTGCCGCCGTGGCACAAGGCGATTTCTCTCTCCGCCCGAGGTGGAGGGCGGGGCCGGTGGGCGGGGCCGTGAGCTGACGGCGCGCCGCCTCCTCCTCCCGCCGGGGCCCGGGGCTGGCGCGGAGAACACAGCGATGCGGGGCCGGTTATGCGGCGGCACGGCCCGGCAGCCCGGGCACGGCGCACGTCATGGTATTAACGGCTTAAAAGAGATGTGCGGCTTCCCCGGCGCCCCATCCTCGTGATGGCGGAGGCGGCGGGCCGCGCCTTCGTGTCGCGGTCGGGCGCAGCCGCAGCACGGAGGGCCCCGCAAGGGAAAGCTGCGGGTGCGAATCGTGGCAGAGCGTGGAGGAACGGCGGCTTTAGAGCCAAAAGGAGCTTTAAAGCAGCTGCAGCGCTCAGCTGAGTCCCAACTGTAAACGCTGTACGTTCTCACCTCGCTGATTTCTCACTGTTGCTGTTTTTCTTTAACCACGACAGAAGCACCAGAGAAACACCACGCCACGACTTCGAGCACTGAGGGAGCGGAATCACTCCCTCAGAGCATCTGTTCGTGTAAACACCACTACAACGGGTAGTTGTACCACATGTGACCTCCTTCACTCTCACGTGGAGCATTCACTTTTGACTAAATTCACTGAAACGTAACAGAAACACAACAGAGAGGTTGTGCAGAAGCTGCTAACACTACCTTCTTCAGCCCCGCTGCTGAGGTCCTCCCTGTTGAAATGCTGAAATCTTTTGTAGTTTTTAATTCAAGCAGTTTGAACAAAGC